AATGCATTTCCATTAGAAAATTCAAATACTCACTTGAAACATGCACAGACACCTACACAATGTTTGTATATATATGTTTAAATATAAACAAAGTAATGTTTATATTCAAGCTCTATAAAACTATCAAAGAGGAAGATAGCATAATTTTTTTCAGTCAACATGTATTGAGTCAAGTTTTTTTTCCCCCCCCTTTGGTTGGTTGTTGGGCTTGAACTCTGGGCCTAGGCATTGTTCCTTCAGCTTAAGGCTAGCGCACTACCCCTTGAGCCACAGTGCCACTTCAGGTTTTCTGAGTGGTTTATTGGAGATAAGAGTCTCATGGACTTTCCTACCTGGGTTGCCTTTGAACCATAATCTTCAGATCTTAGTCTCCTGAGTAGCTAGGATTATAGGCATGAGCCACTGGCACCTGACTTGATACATATTTTTGCAAAGTGAATAATCAATCTAACTAATCTATCAGTTGACTGTATGTGGATTTTTATATACAAGTTATGTATATTTCATTATTGCTAATAATCCTCTAGGATTACTAAAGTATTGAAAAAAGTTTTATTCCAGATGGCTCAGAATTTATAGATACACTATTAATATAGCTTCTGTGTTTCCTGTATATCAGCCTTAGAAATAAATAGTATCACTTTAGTCTTATTTCTCAGAGGAAAGCTGTTATCTAATTCAAAAGCAGTTGTTTAATGAAAAGGAGTTAGACTATAGAACTTACACTTGCTATAGGGCTTTATCAGGGAAACTCAATTTAATTTGGGGCAGAATTTATAGAAGATAATGGAGAACAGGCCATTTATATGGGGTTAGGTCTGAAAAGGGATTAGGCCATGGTGAATGTGAATGCAATTCACTTGTCTCTTTAGCTGGCTAACCAGATAAAGGAGATAACATTATCAAGAGCAAAGTCCTCAAATGTTAAGAAGTACAAAATGAAATAAGAATATCTTTAAACATCTATTTGAAACATGGATTGAGTCTAAAATGTTTTGCAGCTGGTGTTTGAAGTGGCTGGTTATCTTGCCTCAAGCTTTTTCATTTTCTCATTAATGTAGCTTTAAGCATTGTTAAGGCTAGATTGGAGGGCACTTAAGTCATTGTATTTACTGTTATGCAATTAAAGGGAAGTTTGAAATGGAGTAAAAGTTTTCAAAAGGGGGTCGGGAGGAAAAATGGGGAGAAGACAAAGGAAAAGATGACATTGTTCAAAAAGAAATGTACTCATTACCTGCCTAATGTCACTGTAACTCCTCTGTACAACACCTTTACAAAAACAGTAAGAAAAAAAGTTTTCAAGAGAATAAAATGGGTCCATATGGGAATCTAAAATATGCTGATGCATTAAAAAAAGAGAGAGAACTGAAGAAATCAACAGAAGTGCTTAAAGATGTCAGTGCTTAGTAAACACTATCACTTGAGATTTTTAGTTTTAAAATGTGTCCCAGGTTACAGAAGCATTTGGGAGTGATATTGGAGAATTTGAGAATGGTATTTGAAAAGCAAATTAAATCTCTTATTCAATTTGCTGGATGCACCTCAAATGTAGATAATACAGAGGCTTTTGGAAAGCATGATAATTGGACAGACGATTCAGAAGGGATCTAATGTAGCAGAATGACTACAACTTGGCTGAAATATATGTTAATACACAGATGAGACCAGAAGTAGTCAGAATAAAACATAGACTTTTCCTTCCCAGACTGGCTTTTGAACCATAATCTTACATCCCAGCCACTGATGCCCAGGTCTGTAGGGGAACTTTCTAAGAGCAAGTAACAGCTGAGAAATACAAAATGTAGCAGATGTATAATTTAAATGATTCAGCTTATTTATAGTAAGTTTGTCTGAATTAAGGAGAAAAGGGAGGTTAAAATAAGAAGAAAATGCAGATACATGTAGCAATTTTGGTTACCATCTAGGTCTCAAGAACAGTGATGGTGTTTATTATGAAGTTTAATAAATATGGTATTTAATAATATGGTATTATTTAATAAATATGGTATTTAATAATATGGTATTAACACTGATGTTAATAAGCTTTATGGGATGTTACACAATAAGGTGTAATACATCACATGGCCAGGGCCAGTTTAATTTTAGAAATTCTGTAAGTTCTAAGTCAGCTTTGCACTGGGAACCACACTGGGAATTTTATGGTGGTTACTTCCAGAGCTTCAGCTTCCTCAACAGTTTCTGGTCCTGGAGAGCCATCTACTGGAAAATCACTTCATAGCCTCAGGATATTTCCTTGCTTTTCTGTTTTGCACACAATTGGATACTCTAGTTTTTTTTTTTTTTTTAAAGAACTAATAAATAACAACAACAAAAAACCCCAACTGGTTGATTGATTCTACATTTTTCTTCTCATGCCTAGCTACCATAATTAAAAAAAAATCCTATGAGCAGAGAGGTTCCCAAGCACCAGTGAACATTTCCCTTTTAGAAAGATGCCTGGCTGAGACAGAGCCACACCCCTCAGGGAGGAACTGGCTCAGGCCAGCCCCAGGAAGCTGCACCATTTTTTCCAGACATCCTTTCCCTTTCCACATATATTCATTTGGTGTTAAACTGTAAAAAGGGGAGAAAAAAAAGGCCACCGAAAAGAAAACTTTGACTTAACACGAATCAGCAAATATGCAAAAGATGAGGATTTAGATTAATCACTGCTTTTCCAAAAAGGCAGGGTGATGCGGGTCCCCAATGCTATTTCTGTTTCTTCTGACTCCCAGTGTTAGGATGACAGAGTCTCAGCCCACAGGTTTCTTCTCTGGCGATGCCTTAGCTACAAGCCTGGAAATGCTAGTGACTTGGCTGTTTTCTGGAGAACTAAAAATGTCTAAGCTGTAATAAAAAGACAGTTTGAAAAACTTTTGGTGAGGACTGTCTATGAAATGACTATGAAATGGACTTTGTAACAACGTAATCTGGGGCAAAATGAAAACTCTTAAGATTTGGTAACCTAAGGCAGAAATGTTTGCAATAAATAAAGAAAACAAGCTTAGACCTAGAGAAGCAAAAATTCTAGGTGTGAACAAACTCCTTAAAGGCTTGGCTATTGTATTATCTGAATACCTAAGGTTAGCATTTTGACTAGCTAAAGTAGCCTGTAAATAAAACAGGATTTATAAACTTGGTCCTTGTTTAGGTAATGATACGTATTTGGAGGGCAGTGCCTGCAAAGCTTTTGAGTTCTCCAGAAGAAAAGTTCTATGTAAGTGCAAAAGATGGTTGTGGGTTATGAAGCAGCTGTTAAGAGATTCTGACAGAGAGGCCAGACATATGAAATTGGCTTAGTGAGGATGCTGTCTAGACACATTTTCCCCTCCTAGCCACTTGTAATAGGACATTTCTCTATTCGAATTGCCACTTGATATCACTAAGCATCTCTTAGCCATGTGGTACCATTACCTGACATTGCTGATGAATGGTTTGCAGTTTTCATTTATAACTTTCAATTCACTTTGAGCATAGCAATATCAATTAGGTCATGTCCTATTCTCCATTGAATACTGAGCTGTCTTTCTGTTCTAACACCTCAGTTACAGTTGTGGATGACATCTATTAGGTATCAGAATTCTTGACAGGATCTTGATCTTGGTAAGGATGCTATGGAAGAATACACTAGCCCCATGGCAAGGAACCTTGGTTGATGCACAACCTTGGTTGTGCAGCCTGAACTCAGTGGGACCCCTGAGTGTGTAAGGGGGTGCTGGTTCCACAAAAGTGAGAAGGGGATGCATGAAACTTGTGCCACACATTTGGGAGTGGACATAGCACAGATAGGTGGGAGGATTCTGCCTCTTAGGTCAGAGGGTGACTCAGAAACTCTCCTTCCTGTCCTTTTGAATCTTGTGTGTGGCCCTGTTACGATCTGATAGTATGGGTCAGCCAGTGTCAAAATCAACCTGAGAAGAAGATGTGTCAGTCCTGAGGATGCACTTTGCATTCCAGGTGACAGGGCTGCAAGGAAAAGCTCAGCTAAATCCTCTTATCTTCCCTTCCTGGATTTAAAGGGACAAAATGCCACTTCAGGTCTTTCAGCCTTGTCACTGGATGTCGACATAAAGGGTATCCATGTTCATCATGCTAAACTAAGAATAATAATTTCTTTTTAGAGGTCCAGTTTTTCTTTTTCTGTGCCACCTTTATATATGCTTGTAAGTGTGTGTGTGTGTGTGTGTGTGTGTGTGTATGTATACATTAACTTACTGGCCACAGGCTTATTTGGTGTTCAAATACCACAAAAATTAAATTTGGGTTTTTTTCTAAGCAAAATTTCTAAACAAAAACATTAGGAACCTTATTTTCCTAACCTCTACTCCACCAGAATCACTGAGAAAGAACAGTTGTGCAAGCTGACTCTTCTGAGAGTGTTGGTGATCTTCTCCACATTGTTACCTTATGACTGCCTACTTTCCAGCTCCCATGAGAGGTGGATTGAGAATGGGGATGTGATTGCTTCCAGTTTCTTGGTTATTTTCCTCCACAGGGAAGACAGGAGCCATGAATGGATGTGGGCATCTCTCATGCAATATTGTGTTGAGTTCTGCTCACAGAGGTGGAGGAGTAGAAAGTGAGCTGAATTATGAATGTTCATCTCTGGTGGCACAGGGGTGGGAACAGCTCCTTTTAAAGTTCTGATGATATTTCAGTGTAGTCTCTAAACAGATAAATTTTTATGACCACTAGAAAACAGAAACAGGGCTGTTTTTTAATCTTGTAAAAAATAAGTTACCATAATAACAATTCTGAGTATCAGCATGTGAACTCCCAGTAAACATGATACATGATTTAAAAAAATTTCACATCATCCACATTGGCTATAAAATTGGCTTTAAAAGGTCAAACACAAATACATATATAAATGTATATATATATATATATACACACACACACATATATTGTTATATGTGTTACATTTAAAAAAAGATTCATTTGTTGGAGTCTACATTTACAGCATGTTTTTATGTTTCCAATTGACTTTTTTTGTCCAGAGGGAGAAGAAGATGAGGATGAAGAAGACGAAGAAGATGAAGATGAAGAGGAAGATGAGGAAGAAGATGAGGAAGATAAAGATGCAGACTCCTTAGATGACAGCTTTGATGGGGACACCGAATTGCCAGGGTTCACTCCCCCTGGCATCACATCCCAGGATCCTGGCCTAGAGCAGGGAAACCTAGACGCACTGGAGGCAGCCACCTACCAGGTGCCGGACGCCATTGAATGGGAACAACAGAATCAAGGCCTGGGTAAGACCCATGAGTATTTTTCTTTCCGTCCTCCCTGTCCTCTTCCTACTTTAATATGGTGAGAACTTCCTTTCTTTGACATTTGTCATGGGCAAAATGATCTTTCTATTTTTATGGGTGTTTATTTGGGGGGAAAAAATCAGCTGTTTGTTCAAGAAGTTTGTATTGGGCTGGGAAGGTGGCTCAGTGGCAGTGTGCTTGCCTTGCGTGAATGAGGTCCTGGGTTCGATTCCTCAGAACCACATAAGCAGAAAAGGCCCGAAGTGGCACTGTGGCCTTGAGCTGAAAAGCTCAGGGACAGAGCCCAGGCCCAGAGTTCAGGCCCCATGACCGACCAAAAAAAAAGAAAAAAAAAGTTTGTATTATGCTGTTAAATAGGAGACTCATGATGCACATGACTATCTGAAGTTTGGAAGGAATTCCAGTTTTCCTTCCCAGCTGGAAGAAAGACAGCTTTAGGAAAACTTCAAATGGGAGATGCATATAACCAGGATGCTGGATAAGCAGTACCTGGACCTGAGTCAGGAAACGAATGGGATTTGTCATCTTCTGTCCTTTCAGAATTTGTTTCCTAGGGCAAGTTCCTGCCCTGTTATTAGCTGAGCTTTCCAGCAAGCCCACCATTTTTTCTGCTTATTGTAAACACTAGCTCTGTTCACCTGTTGAGTGTCCAGACAGCCTTAGGCTTTCTCTGCCTTGTGCTTGGCCCCTGCCTCTTATGAGAGACCAAGTATACAGGCTTTCCCTTTCCTGTGGACACTATTAAGCTAATAAATGAAAGACCCATTCCCACTCTCTTGACCTGAGGTGAAGTAAGGTGAAGTGATCCTGATCTTCAGAGAAATTCCTTCTTGAAAATTCCCTTAGGGTTTTTTTTTTTTTTTTTTT